TGCTTACTTTTAAAAGTCAACCTATCTATATTCGAAGTATAAGTAATCACAAAGAAAGTCAACCTATGTATATTCGAAGTATAAGAAATCACAAAGTCAAATTTGGGAAATTCTAAACTTTAGATGACGATAATAATAAATTCATCAATATTTGTTGTTGTCGACCAATAGAAGATCAAGCAATTGCTGAAAGGAATCTCTTAAAGTTGCTTATGCAATTTTATAAGCATTTCGATGTGAATTCATAAATATTTTTTTCTTTGATATTATTTGGGCATGTCTAGCTTAAGAGTGTGATTCATTTTTCTTCGACATGTGACAAGTTATGTAGAATTTTTATGGCCCGACATTGTCGACTAGTCCGACTCATATCGTGTGAGACCAAAACTATGTAAGCCAATAAATTTGGCTTGAAAACTTCTCCAATGCCCTAGTGACCAAATGTGGCTCAAGCTGGATTATGTATAACATGTGAGATAATTAAGCTAAGTGTATTGAATTGCATGGATCAAATTCGTTTAACATGCAAGATAGGTCACTTGAATCAGTTGATGTGACAATCTTATTAGAGGTCATCGATCCAATATTTGCAAGACTCCTACTATGGACATAGTCGCAATTCAATAATGACGAAGCTGTGTCGTCACGTAGGTTTTGTTATATGGGTTGATAGTGATTTCTCATAAAATTGTACAGAAAATTCATAGCAAAACTAGGAAATGAATTTGTGACTCTCCTACTTTACCGGGCATATTGTAAAGGCTAATGGATGGTATTGCCCTCCCATTCTCCCAGTTGTACACAACTGTTAAATTTCCCTAATAGTGCCAAGAAATATCAAAGCGTAGTCACTTATTTGTAGAGACTGGAAACTTACACCAACAATACAGATCATGCATGTGGGTGTTTTCAGTCTTTTTCAAAGTCCGAATATGCCGTTTCCATCTCAGTTTTTTCCTTGGCTATTCCTCTATTAAATTTTGACACGTCACTATAATTTTGAAATGTTAAAATCTGAGTGAGGCATAGTTTTTCAATGTTCTTCATCCGGTCTAAATTATGTCCAACTAAAATCTTGACACTTCAAAATTATAGTGATATGTTAAAATTTAATTGAAAGCCAAGAAAATATTGAGATGGGGACAAACAGTTTTAGACTCACTAAACCTGAACATAGATTTTTTTACCTAGCCCTGATGCTGTGTTAATCCTCTCATCTCATCTTCATTTAAGTTTTGTTTTCATCGTTGGAAAAAGTCTAAAAATCCCAGATTAAGCTCTTTGTCTTAATATCATTAAGACATGAGTTAGATAAGCACTTAAGGCAGAGTTAGGCTAATTAGTGGGCTGATGATCATTCAGCTAAGGTCTTTAATAACTTATTCTCTTAATTATTCGGACTTCTGGACCGGATTGAGCTACAAAGATATCAGTAATTCATTTTGCCAGCCAATTTCCTATGTTATTGCTTTTTCTTCACATATTTGTCCACCCATGTACACATTTTTGTATGAATTTTTGCTTGTTATGTCGTGTTGTGTCACATTTTCCATTTTTGTTGCCGTGCAGCTTAGATGAAGTGTAGAATTGATAAGTTAAAAGGTAAAAAAGAAACAAAACCAATAAAAAAGAGAGGAAAAAAATCTGTATTGGAAAGCTGTCTTCATTAATACATCATCTTTGAATTGATTTAGTCATCCCCGGATTTGATACGTAGCTATTAATTAACAAAATCTCTTACCTAAGAAATTTCTTTAAAAATAACAAAGGAATAAAAAATCAACTTCAAGTTCTCTCCTGCTACATTTTGTACTAAATTCAACTAATGATGAGTAAGAAGTGAGAAGGAGAAGAAAAAGGAGAAGTTAGAGACGTAGTGAGTAGAGTAATAAAACTAACGGTGCGTTTGATTGCGAGTATAAAATTTGCATAAAAAGAAAATAATTTATAGCAATTCAATTACCTAGAACTTATTTATATGTAAATTATTAATTAAATATATTTGATTGATTTAGTTTTCAACATAGAAAATATTATACTTGTACATTTTTTAATTAGTGGATAGATGAGAGAAAGAATGAGAGAGTGAATTATCTAGAAAATGAAAAACAAAATATTTGCCTTATTTTTTAGGAAAATATAATTACATGACAAAAAGTTGGAAAATATTTTTCATGAAAAAATTGTCAATCAAATACTTCAAAAAGTATGAATTTGGGTGAAAATGATATTTTTTGTGAAAATGATATTTTTCATGAAAAATAAAGTCAATCAAACACACTCTAAGTGTGAGGTGCAGTG